GATTAATTAACATAAATGCAAGGGGGAAACCTGGGATTGACTTGTTGATAATTTGTTAATAGTTGATAATGCTATAAAGATCAGGTTGGTCTTCTGCAACCTCACATCACTCGTGTCATACCTGCATCACTCGTGTCATACCTGCATCACCCGTGTCATACGTGTCACCGTGCAACCTGTGTCACCCGCATCACCCATGTCACTAGTGTCAACCGCAACCCTGCATCACCAGTGTCACCCGTGTCACCTGCATCACCATGTCACCTGTGTCACCCGTGTCACCTGCATCACCATGTCACCTGTGTCACCCGTGTCACCCCTGTCACCGGCATCACCCATGTCACTAGTGTCAACCGCAACCCTGCAGCACCAGTGTCACCCGTGTCACCTGCATCACCATGTCACCTGTGTCACCCGTGTCACCTGCATCACCATGTCACCTGTGTCACCCGTGTCACCCGCGTCACCATGTCACCCGTGTCACCAGTGACACCCCTGTCACCCGCATCACCCATGTCACCAGTGTCAACCGCAACCCTGCATCACCAGTGTCACCCACGTCACCATGTCACCCGTGTCACCCGCACGACGGAGGGAAGGGACGACGCCGTACCTTAGACGTGGTGATGAGCTCCACGGCCGTCGCGTAGTCCAGCAGGGGCGTCACCGGGAAGTTCTCGCGCGCGTAGTCTCGCAGAATCTTCACTCTCATGTCCGGGTTGTTCAGCTGTAACCACGGCAACGAGCAAAGCCGGTGAGTCGTTGTTGTTGCGTCGTGGCTTAGCGTGCGACCACGATGTACGTTTTGCAATGTTTATCAGGGAAAAAAGTGCAATTAAAATCAGATTTTTACCCAGACGCAAAAAGATCGGAACATAGCACGAATCAGGTCAGCCGGTAACCATAGCAACGACCCCGTCGCCCAGCATCATCACCGCTGGTCCCGTGTGGACAGACGGACATACGGACAGACAACTCACCGACTTGACCCTGTGTCCGATGCCCATGATCAGTTTTCCCTGCTTCCTCATCTCATTAACGAAGTCCATCGGGATGAGGCCCTTGTCTAACCCCTCACTGAACTGCTTGGCAGCAGCGTCCAGAGCCCCTCCAAACCTGTCTCCCTGCAGGAAAGCCATGTCACACACATGTTAGCGGATACGTAGGTCTCCTCTACTAGCATCTCTAGCATCTGTTGTGTTTGTATTCGTAACACGGTCTTTCTCTCTACCTGTCCTTCTTCATCTCTCTCTCTCTCTCTCTCTCTCTCTCTCTCGCATCTCTCTGTCTCTCTCCCTTTCCCTTTCTCTCTTTCTCTCTCTCTCTCTCTTTTTTCCCTTCCCCCCTCTCTCACTCGTCTTCTCTATCGCTCGCTCTTCACTCTCTCTCTCTCTTTCCCTTTCTCTCTTTCTCTCTCTCTCTCTCTTTTTCCCTATCCCCCTCTCTCACTCCTTCCCTCTCTTCCTCTCTCCACACTCTCTCTCTCTCTATCGCTCTCTCTCTCTATCGCTCTCTCTACCCCCGCCCCTTACATGCACTCACGATGGTCAGCAGTCCGGAGCAAAGACTGGACACGAGATCCTTCCCCGCTCGCGCCGTCACGATGCAATTGTGAGCGCCGGACACGGCCGGACCGTGGTCAGCGGTCACCATCAGACACTGCTCGATGAACTTGCAGGCGTATGGAGGAAGCCTGCACGGCGACGACGCGCGCGACAAAACAACGACGCATCGTTAGTTAAAATAATCGTCAATCGTAACAATGCGTAAAACTATGTATTGTAATTAAAATAATTGTTACTTGTAAGAACTTGTAAAAATATTTATTGCAATTAAAATAATTGTTAATTGTAACTTACGTGTAAAAATACGTATTGTAATTAAAATTGTAACAAAATAATTAGAATAATGCGCACACGTATTAGTCACACAGATGCACACAGTCGTGCCAAGATAAATAATTTAGCCAGTCATTAAAAAAGAGTATATATATATATATATTTATAGTATATAGATATAATATATTATATATATTAGTGTATAGAGTATATATATATATATATCTATAGATAGATAGATAGATAGATATATTCATCTCAAGAAAATGTCAACGGTCAGCCGAGAGCACGCCAAACGCGAAGCCATCGCCCCCCAACGGTTGCCGTAGCGACTCGTGGTTACCTTCTCTGGAACCAGAGGAGGCTGAGCACTCCGCCGATGCCATTTCCTGGCTCAAAGATCTCAGTGATGGGCATGCCCGCGTAGAGAAGCTCGTGTCCTCTCTCGTCACAGATGCTCGTCATGACGACGCCGGCTTTCTGGATGATGCCCAGCTCCTTACACGAGGAAAGAGGAGATGATGAGAGAGAGAGGGGAGAGGAAGGGAGGAGGATGGAGGCGAGAGGATCAGCAGACACAGATGCTCGTCATGAACGATGCCCCAGCTCCTGTACACGAGGAGAAGAGAGAGAGAAGGTGATGAGAGAGAGGAGGGGAGAGGAGGAGGAAGGAGGAGGAGGGAGGGGATCAGGCAGACACAGATGCTCGTCATGAACGATGCCCAGCTCCTGTACACAAGGAAAGAGAGAGATGATGACAGAGAGGAGGGAGAGGGAGAGAGAGAAATGGAGGGAGGGAGAGAGAGAGAGAGAGAGAGGGAAGAGCGAGACCAGAGTGGAGGAGTGAGCAGAGACAGAGCGAGAGCGAGAGAGAAAAGAGAGGGAGGGCCATAGTGGGACAGATGAGTGATACATGAAAAGCATAGTGACAAGGTGGTGACATGAGTCTAACAGGACACGTGACTGACGCGAAGGAACTCGCCTGTAGCATCACAGTACGCACACCAGTGTTAACACAGTTGACTCACCCTGGCCCAAGAGTAGTCCATTGGCACGGTCGGTGGAGCACCTCAGGCTGCGCGTACGATTTTTCCCGCTTTCACGATGATTTCGTACACCTCCCTCTGCAATCAACAACACATGACACGCTCACATTCTGACAGCTTTATTTACTCCAATGACGTAACTAACACAGTTTATCGCAGTTATAGAGTTTATATATATATATATATATATATATATATATATAGACTATATACATATATATATATATATATATATACACACGAGTATACTCGTATATACATATATATATATATACATACAATGGTAATTATAGTGATAGCAGGATCTGTTAACAAACCAAAAATTTACGAAACTAAACATCCGACGGTCGTTCCATCGTAACGCCACAAGATTTAACCAGCGTGAACAACGACGTGAACAACATGAACAACGACGTGAACGAGGACGCGAACAACGACGCGAACGACGACGTGAACAACGACGTGAATGACTGCAACGAAAGATCTTCATCCATCGTTCTCCTCACCGGATCTCTCCGAGAACGTCAAGTTGTCGAACGAAGGCTCCGGCTTCCTTCAGCGCCTTGTTCTTCGCGACGGATGTTTCTGCTGCGGCGTTAGCGCACGCGCCCGCGTGACCGAACTGTACCTGTCAACGATAACAACGAGAAGGACGTGAGAGGAGGTGACACGGACGCGAGGTGAAGACCGAGATGAGGTGAGGAGGCATTGACGATCGGAGGGACTCACGTGCAGGGCCGTAGCCAGAGGTAAATTTTGTAGGAGGCAAATGTTGTGAGCTAAAGAACAAGGAGCGAAGCGAGCCAATAGGGCGTGGGGTATGGGGCGCCCGCTTAAGGGCCCAGAAGAAATTGTTGTTAGGAGGCATTTGCCTCCTATTGCCTAACGGTAGCTACGGCCCCGCTCACGTGATTAAGATATCCTGATAACTACCAATGAACCAGCCTGTCACGTCACTATAAGATATCCTGATATACAATGAACCGCTGTCACGTCACTATAAGATATCCTGATATATATCCAATGAACCAGCCTGTCACCGTACTATAAGATATCTGATATATACGCAATGAACCAGCCTGTCACGTCACTATAAGACTATCCTGATATATACCAATGAACGCAGCCCTGTCACATCACTATAAGATATCCTGATAACTACAATGAACCAGCTTCACATCACTATAAATATCCTGATAACTACCAATGAACCCAGCCTGTTCACGTCACTATAAGATATCCTGATAACTACCAATTGAACCAGCCTGTCACTCACTAGAAGGATATCCTGATATATACCAATGAACCAGCCGTCACAGGTCACTATAATAGATATCCTGTAAGCTACCAATGAACCAGCCTGTCACATCACTATAAGATATCCTGATAACTACCAATGAACCAGCCTGTCACATCACTATAAGATATCCTGATATATACCAATGAACCAGCCTGTCACATCACTATAAGATATCCTGATAACTACCAATGAACCAGCCTGTCACATCACTATAAGATATCCTGATATATACCAATGAACCAGCCTGTCACATCACTATAAGATACCTGTAAACTACAATGAACCAGCCTGTCACATCACTATAATATCCTGGATATATACCAATGAACCGCCTGTCACGTCACTAATAAGATATCCTGATAACTACCAATGAACCAGCCTGTCACATCACTCATAAATATCTGATAACTACCAATGAACCAGCCTGTCACATCACTATAGATATCCTGATATATACAATGAAACCGCCTGTCACGTCACTATAAGATATCCTGATATATACCAATGAACCAGCCTGTCACGTCACTATAAGATATCCTGATATATACCAATGAACCAGCCTGTCACGTCACTATAAGATATCCTGATATATACCACTAACCCTGTGCATAAGTAAATACCAAAAACTAGCAGTCGTGATCCTACGTGGCAAACAAAATCTATGCCTACAAAGGCCCTATCTATGCCACCCACTTACGCACACCTACGGAGGCGCATCTATGAGCGCGGCGGCAGTCTTACTCGGATGTGAACATAGTGGAGCAGGGCCAATGCACCAGAGGCGGACGAGCGCTGAGA